AGGCAGGCGGTGCCGTGTCCATAGCGTGGCTTACCCTTTCCAGCACCGGAGTGCTGTTGTACGCTGCGTCCGGGTTTCGGGCCAAGACGTGGGACTGAGCTCCCGAAGGAGGCGCAGTCGACATCGCCTGTGGGGGAGCCGAAGCCGGCCCCACAGTGTCCCCCGGTGGTGCTGCGTTTCGCAAGGTGGCGCGCGACCGACGTTGCAAGAACGCCTGCATCACGCGGACCCGAAGCTGGCGCTCGTGGAGCACCGCCGCCTCGTTGCTGTTAACCAGTGGGGCGGCCGCGGCCTGTATCCGGGGCTCGCGTTGCGAGGCACCGGGCAGGGGCGACACACCGACCGGAGTAGCCGAAGCCAAAACCGCTGGATGCGCTGAACGTGAGGAGAGTCCCGTTGGTGGCGGCTGCGGTGGCACCGCTCGCGGCGCGACGGCCTTTTGGGTTGAATCGCCAGGTGGGTTCCCAAGCCCACCCTGGCACCTTCACGCCGACGCGTCGAGCTGGATGAATTGCTTCTGCAGACCTCCCAGCGACTCGTTGATGTACTCGATTACGCTGGGGTCCAGCGGCTCACTGGGCGTAAAGTGGGCCCGCTTCTGACCTTGACCTGGGTTCTTGCAGGCCTGCTTGCCTTCACACCGTTTGTTGGACACGTAGCGCAAGCAGAGCTCCATCTTGTTGAGCTTGGGAACCAGCTGCTTGATCGACGAGCTGACCCGATTGGTGCCGTCCTTGGCCACGCCGTCTTTGGTCTTGGGACTGCGCTGCGGTTTCGCTTGGCTGGCCATGAGCTCGAGGATGCGGCTATCTTGTGCCGAACGGGCCATGGACACGAGCATCGGCGAGCTCGTGTGGAGGTGTTCGTGCGAGAACCAATGCGTGAGGACTGCCGCGTCGCCCCGTACGTCGTTTGCCATATCCAAGCGAAAGCACTCGAGCGCCCAGTCGAACCACCGGGCCACGTAGCTGGCAGTATGGGCGGTGACCTGGCTTTCACTCATCATGTGACGGAGTAAACGACCCGCTTTTGCGACAAACTGCTGCACCACCGGCGCACAGTAGCGCTCGGTGTAAATCGAGAGCATGTCCAAGGCCCCGGCTAAGGCCTCCGGCGACATGGCGTGGGCCAGTGTTGTCGCCGTCGTTCCCGACGTTTTGGCTCCCGTGAGGTCCATGTGGAGGCGCGTCCAATGGTCGATCTGAGCTTGCGTCCGGCGTTGCAGATGTGCCAGGGACAGGCGGCCACTGCCAAAATCGAAGCTGTACAGGGCCCGCACAACCTCCGGATGCTTGTAGAAGAGAAGTTCCCGGTTCGTTTGGACGTCTTCTGTGAACCGCTGCAGCGACCAACCAGCCGTGTGCGCGTTGGCTGTAATGTAGTGGAGACCGTGTACCACCGGGTTGAGCTCGAATTCTGTGCGTTGGCGTTTGGACCGAGCCTCTTCGGCAGCCTGGACCAACTGGCGGGCAATAGCTGCCGCCGATGCGGCCTCCGAGCTCGGCAGTGTCTCCACCGCGGCTGGTAGGGGCGCGAACCGCGACCCGGCGAGAGTGCAGCTTCTCTGACCTGGTGTCCAGTGGCCCGGATGTAGTCCGGCTGGGTTCGCGTACGGAGCCAGTGCCGTCGCCGATGCCGATCCAGAATGCCAATGGCTGGGGATGCCGTGCGACAGAGGTACCGGGAGGTGCGCGCCGGGCGCGAGCAACTCCTGGTGCGGCGCCGCTCCGACCGGAGGCCACGTTGGCGCACCCGCATCCAGTCCCGGCGGAGGCACGGCATTCCCTTGCTCCCAGAACTCGCCGGCAGGACGAGGCACGGCCTCGAGGATGCGCTCCGGTAGGGGTGCGGCATCGATAATGCGCTCCGGTGGGGATGCGGCATCAAGGACGCGCTCCTGTGGGAGCAGTTGCACGATGTCCACGGGACGCCGGATGGTCACCACCACTGGGACTTCTTCCTCGTCGTGGGCCTCGACGTCATCCGGATCCTCGCCGCCGGCGTCGTCGAAACGCGGGTCTTGCCAGAACGTCGCGCCGACAGCCACGTCCACCGGGCGCTCGCGACCGTCTGCAGCGAAAAAGAAGAAATCGACCACATGCTGGACGGATAGGGTCGTGCGTGCTCCGGTCGCCGGTGCGCGGATCTCAAGCCGAGTGTCCGCGGTGGGCCGCGCGTCATCGGCGGTGCCTTGGAAGACCGCCGCGAGGTCACGCGACCCGTTCACCGGGTCTTCGACTCGGCTGCGCATGGACTCAAGCAAGAGCGCAGTGGCTGCGAGGCGTCGCGTCGCCATAGCGCCGTCGCCAAGCTCAACCTCCATACCCCACAAGGCTGCAGCTCCAATCGGATGGCACCGCTGTACCTCATCCGCTCCCACGTCGTAGGTGCCTCGGGCGTTGGTCACCGTGAGAGTCTTGCCAGACTCTCGTACCGCCACGACTTGCCCCGCCGTCGCCGAACCGTTGAGGCGGAAGAGGACAAACCGACGCAACAGCGCGCCCGCGTTGGACCGGGCCTCGCGCGCCGAGGCGAACGCGAACGTGCACTCGTCTTTCGGCATCGTGAACGAAGTCTCCGGCGAGCCCTCCGTCGGCAGTGTCGTGAATGTGAGCACCTTCGGGCCGCGTCTCGCGCTGGCTACCGCCGTGATGCAAGCGTACACCGGCCAATCGAGCGCGCCGGGAGCCACTTGCGCGCGCGATTCGTCGGAGACTTGCTCAGGAAGAACCATGACATGGGATTTTCTCATGTACTGATGGCGAGCCATGAGTACCTCTTGCTTAGCGGAGAGCGAAAACTAGAATGCTAGGCTCTGCCGACCAGTCGTTGGTTTCGCCGAGCCGCCTTCTCTTGAAAAGTCCGTTTCGACTC